ACTATTTTACTACCTATAACGTGTAAAATATTATAAATTTTTTTTATCGTGTAACTTATTAAAAATAATACAAAAGATAGTTTAGGTAGTTAGGGTTTAAAAAAAAATTATAAAATTAAATTTTTCATTGGAATAATGATGCCTATTACATGTCGTATGACATATAGGTACAACACGTGTACAACGTAATAAAAAAACATAAGCTTTATTTTTTTTTTAAGTTAAACATTATACGTTCATCATAAAATATATTACTCGTATTAATGTCTTAAATTATGTTTCTTGAGTTATTTCGTTAAACGGTATTAGAATATCGTTTTTTTCGTTTAAATTTTTTAAAATAATTTTGCTTTTAAAGCTTATAACGTTCTAAAAAAAACGCTTTAAAGTCCTACTTATTCTATCATGTATATTAAGCTCCTATTTAGAGCAAACATAACAAATATTCAAAACTACTAGTTCTTGCTATTTTTTAAATAAGAGAATTAAACTAAGTATATTACTTGTTTTCGACGGATATGATAATTATTATTTTGTTTTAGACGTTCTAGTGAAATTGAAAACGCATTCACTGGAAATAATTTCCTTGTACCTACCTACCGATGCGTATATTTAAATTAAAATATAAACAAATAGCATATTATTTTAAATATAATATATATTTTTAATAAAAAAAATAACACAGGAATGTTATTTTAATTTAATCCTGAAAAAGGCTATTTTGCATTATTTCATCTTACCGCGGAATTTCACTGTTTCAAGTTAGTGACAGTGTCTTACGACTCGTTTATCGTTCGTCTTGCGGGTACCCATAAGATACCCATATAGGTAATAATATTCGTTTTACAACATCGAATGAACACGGTTTATACGGGACGACTCTTTCAACAGTAATCTCGACCGATTTTAGGTAAACCGAAAATGTTTCTGGATTTGACATCCCAGCTCAACGTTAGGTTACCTGTCCTTTCGACGCCGCTGCTCCCATGTAGCTATCCTTAACATTACCTCGTCAATTTTTCTTTTCAACCATAAAATATTACTATCACTGTTTTATGTCGGACGACGGACGTGCGATACGCCTGCTTGCAGCTATTATTGCCACAGTATGCCACTACTATGGACCATATATTGTGTCGTGTACGCGAGAGTAGGTATACAATGGCTGCAGTTAGTCACCGTGACCAAAACCTTAACAGACTATGCGCAGCAATATAAACTAGTATAATACATCTGCACAGAATTGAAATCGTATTGTTTTACATTATTATAACCTACGAGTCTACGCAGTGTCATTTATTTATAAATCGTTTCTGTACAACAGTGCTCGATCTAGTAACAACAATAATAATTTATGCAGGCGCTATTACAGGCATTGGGCAGGTCGCAAGTGTACACATCATAGATCTATAGATGGCTTAACAAATTTAATGTCTTTCTATACGCAAAACGCACACCTAAATCTATTGAATTATAATATAAAGCTGAATTTTCACGAATCGCGTACTTGACCGATAAACTTGTTGGTACTGGTGGTTACTATATACTTACTTGACTCGTTGCCGCGGCCGTCGGGTCGGTGTACACTTGCACATTAATATCGGTCAATGCTGGTGCCCTTCTCGATGGTTGTTTGCAAATGTGACACTAGTCAAAAGAACGACCAATATTTTACTAATGAATATAATATTATACTTGACAAATGAACTAGTTTTGGAACACTATATTATATGATACTATAATATTGGATATTATAGTATGCAGATTATTGTAATTTTATTACTTTCTGTTTGGCCATTTGATTAACGGGTGTACTTGGCATTTAGACACATCGTGGGAAACCGGTTCAATACTATACAATACTAAGTATATATTATATGGGGACTCTGTCACCTACTCGTTTCGCTCTCACCAACCCTCTTGGGATCATCGCCACCCCCCGAGCAGATCGTATGCACTTTAAAATTTAGAAATATGTACTTAAAAATTAAATATGTGTAAGATAAAAATGTATACAAAACTTTTTATACAACAGAGATAATAAGATTTCAATAAAGAATAAAAAATGTAGTAATTTATTTAAAAACCAGTATCAATACCAACGTCTATCTGCACCAGTCAACATTTAATAAGACCTTTGAAACAATAAATTAAAATCATATATATAATCATACTCATTCCTTTTTAGACGGATACCCTTAAACCTCTTTGGAGTTTTTAAGATCGGCTGCTTTTTTTATTACAGACATACCTTTTATTATTATGTAATAAAAAAAGGAGCCGATCTTAAAAACTCCAAAGAGGGTTAAGGGTATCCGTCTAAAAAAGGAATGAGTATGATTACATTTCCATAATAATAAATGATGCGTTTGTAAACAGCGGGAGAGCAAACGCCGTCGGTCCAGATGCAGGCCGTCGGTCAGTTGTCGCAACAGCGGCGCCGGCCGGACGTCCAGCCGATGGGCATGCGACGATTCGCCGACCCGGAAAAAGTGGCGGCCGTGTTCAAAGCCTGCAAGGAGCTACAGGTGCCGATCGGGGAAAACCACTTCGAAGACGGCTACAACGATGGCGGTGGTCCTGCGTCGGAGCCCCGCCAGAAAACGGTGCAGACCGAACCGAAAAAATAAAATATTGACAATACGGACCCTCAGTGGCGATAATAATATCGGCAGTGTTCAGCATAAATTACCAAATTTGCAAGGCACCTATCAATTTATTGTAACAATACATTATAAATAATGTGACATGTGATAATGTCGTTTTTTTATCTCCCCTGAACTGGCTTAACGACTTTATATGGGACTCGGGGTAGTGGCGGGTATACGAGGGGAGCTATATGGCGATCGCTCCCCAACCCTAGAGTCACGTTTATATTACGTAATTCTAATAATTTATGATCGCTTGTACGTGTGGATCTTCTTTTGACCACTTTCCTCAAGTATTCCACATCCATGTCCAACTTAACGGCTCCGTAGGATTGTGTCCACCAGTTTAAAGGTCTAAATAATTTTGTTAATTGTTTGTTTCTTGTAGCTGAAACTAGGCAATATCGTTTTACATTTTAATTTCTCTGTTTTCACAAATCAGGGCCTACTTTATGAACAGAATGTAAAGAGATTTATAACTATTAAAATATAAAAAGTACAATATACTAAAATTGTATACCACACGACACTTAACTTATAAATATACAGTGTTTATACCCTGCAGATAATAATGAGATCTAACAATTATTTTTATAAATAATACAAATTACCGCCCTCATAATTAACTAACTAACTGATTATTTTATCAATGATATAAGATATAATAACGTGCAACTTAAAAATTATTTATTAAAAACAACAATTCTAGCATGTGGTTGTTTGTTGGTAACCCGATAGTTTATAACGCTTGTCTCTTCTTACTACATAATTTTTATACGACGGTTAAAAATTAAACTAAATTTAAATTAAGTTAATACATTGAAATATATATCTGTAAGCGCCCAACAAAGGGGGCCTCCCGAAGGACCACTTGAACGACTTTCGGGACCAAAGTTAATTGTTCATTTCAAATCAAATAATATACGCCTTGGTTTGATGAAGGTAGGCAACCTAACCGACTACGTCGTTATAACTTTGGGTAGGCAACCAGACGCACACGACGATGACGATCAGGATGGGGAGTACACTGAGTACAGAACACGGGAATTAGGAAAATGCAAGTTAGGTAACGGGGAGGGTCTGGTGCAATGACCGCAGAGCTCACATTAAATCGGGACTAATGCTCAAAAACTAACTTATTAAATACGAATGTCTCGACGTGTTGAACACAGTAGGTTGAGGTGGTGAGGGAACGCTGACCTGCGGCTTCTCGCACAACGCAAGTTGCTGGCCGACTTATGCGCTGGACCAACGTTGAGGTGTGGAGAACAAAACGACTTATTTAAACAAACGACTTACGTGTTGTAAATAGAGTTTATTTAATAATGGCTGCACGCGGAGCATAAGCAATGTTAACAGCTAGGTTCGTTGTCGGATAATAATCATACTGATCATAGCGATCACAATAATAAGAGTATACGACATAATAATTTAGTCGCTTTAATATCGTACAAAAAACATAGGCGTACGACACGTAGACACACCGACGCCAATAATAATAATAATAAATACGGCCGTTGGCCGCGGAGAGATAGACGAGAAAAAAAAAGAAAATAATGATAATAAGTTGAGGTAAAAGACCGACCAATAATTTACATACATAAAACAAAAAAAAAACAAAGAGAATAAATATGGACATATTAAATTAACGAGACAGTTAAAGATATATATATATATTTATATATATATATATATGTATGGACTGTATACGATGGAGGAGGAGAATGGAACGATAAGAGCGCGTCGTCGTGTTCATTGGCATATCACTTGATGCGGCGGTAATCGGCAGGTTTTATGGCACGAACAATGTCTAAGTATTGATTCTTTCGTTCAATCAAATATAAATATTTCAAGTCTTTGTAGTAGGCGCGTTTGTATTTTTGTCAAACGGTTATAATCGTCGGAAATGTTTGTATTTGCTTTAAATTGACATCAGAAGAAGTAATTTCGATAATTTGGTGCATTCATCTATTTACACTTAAAAAGTTCTTTATACATTTTCTTGTTTGGATCATAGAAAAATTAAGTTTATGACCATCGTTAGTTAACATTTTAGAATATGAATAGTTTAATTATTTATCATTATGTAAAAGCCATCAATGCCATATTTGAATAATGTTAAGTTAACAGTTTTCCTAACCCAAGACAGATATCTAGAACTTTATATTGATTAACATAGCGTTGCTGCAATACACCTAATGTGGCAAATCACTTAAACGCGCTCAAAATGTTCGGTTTGTGTAGCTAAAATTAAATGTATTTTGTCACTACCTTTAACCTATTTGGTGATAGTCATAACTTAAAATAGTATGATAACTATTATATTTATTTATTTATATTATAATAATGATGAATTTTTCGGGTTTTATAGACGATTTCGATCAAATGTCGAATTTGTCAGTGTTTAGAGAGAGAATCAAAAGTTATCACACCAAGTTATACGAATAAACTTATTCATGACATTATTAGGAGTACTGTACAGTACTAATAAAAGATATTAAATAGAAAATCTTGGCATCGTATGCAAAGAGGAGAGCCCGGCATAAATTTGTTATTTTTTTTCGTATGGCGCTATGTTCGGGAGTAGGGACGAAGGCCTAGTTTGGAAGCCTATTTGGTAGGATTTCTAATTGGGCACCCGTTATTGGTTAGTGAAAAATACTGTATATTTATTAAAATGTTGAAAATTAAAGAACCTAAGTGGCCACCTTGCTTCGGAACGCCAAAAGACACAGGATATCATGAGGATGTTACACCAAACAGATAAATAATCTGGCAGTGATAAATGATAACACAAGTTTAATGAAAGTCAGAATTTGTATAAATTACATCAACTTGTCGTTGATCTTCGAAAGACATAAGATGTGAAATCAAAAGCACTAGTAATAACAAGTATTATTTGTCCTAAATTATATTAAAATATTTCTAAGTAGTTTTCTTTAAAAAAAAACATATACATGACAAATTGTAGGTCGTTGTTAAAAATTCAGAGGGGAGCGAGAAATGTGTTTTATTACATGACTGTTTATTAATTTATTATTATTGCTATTATTTTTCTTGTTTGGGAGTGTATCCCAAATACATCGGGAAAATATCTAAACGGAACTGTAATTTTAAACAAAATGTTTTGGAATATAAATCTATTTAGGAATGATAGTTTGAAAAAATTATATAATAAAGGAATGGCATTTTTACTTAATAATATTTTTTACAGGTTGGGCACCACTGGGATAAGTGAACAATGATTTGAGTGGTAATACGGCGGTCACCTTGTGGCCTACTTGAGGTGGTGTTGCATAGGCGGCCACGGGCAAAACCGGTTTTTTATGTAAATCTGGTATATTCTCTTTTGAAACAGTGTATAGTCGAGATATTATATTTTTTTTTTTTGCCCGACCGTAGAGCAGAGCGCTAGTGTCTACGAGTACATCACTGTAAATAATTAACGATGTTTTTTTACGTTGGTGTCACTGCTGGATCACTGATATGAACCTAACCTATCATTTTTCGGAGAACTTAATGTCACATACTCATTCAGTCCTGAGTAATATTTTCTTCATTTTTACCATTCCTAAAAACTGTTTCGAAAAATATCACCGTCGTCTCTACCCACCATCATAAACAACACTGCAGAGGTAATTGGTAAGTACTCAACCACTCCAGATATGTAATTATTATTTTTCACGTCGTTTCTCAGTAAGATATAATATCGTGTTCTGAATGTTCGTTTAGAGTACACGCACGGGCCGCCATTTTCTTTCGGCTGTCGATAACGCCGCCACACGATGTCAGTAGACAAAACCGACGAGAGGATTACGTACACCTTGCCCAGTTTGTTCAAGTTGGCGTGCCTCGCATGTACACCGGCCCAGTATTCCGAGTACAGCACGAAATACAGAAGACTACATATGGACGTGCAGCCTTGTTGCGACCAGCTGAACCGTATCATCAAATTGAATGCAGGAATATTCAACCCGCTCGGCGATAGGAGAAATATGTTCACAAAGGTGATTGAGCACAGCGACTTTTTAGCCGGCAGGCCAATGTCATTGAATTCGGCCCTCAAACACGGACACATCGAATGCCTGAAGATGGCTAATGAGTTCGGTTACCGGTTAACAGTGGAATGTGAAGACTTTGATGCCAAAGCTTTCTTATGTTTCCAGACATTCCAAATGAGATGTTACCCGGATACGTGTTCAGTAGCCGCGATCCATGGACAGTTGGCATGTCTAGAGTACGCCCACCAACAAGGGGTTCCATGGAATGAGTTTACGTGCGTTTCGGCCGTTTATGGCGATAACCTTGACTGTCTTAAATACGCTGTCGAAAACGGGTGTGACTTGAGTTCAACGACTATCGAAGTGGCGGCTTACTGTGGCAACCTAACAATATTAAAATACCTTCATGGACGGGGATGCCAGTGGTCCATAAGAACTTGTATCGTCGCGGCCCAGGAAAGACAACTGGAATGTCTAAAGTATGCGTGGGCCAACGGATGTCCTTGGGATGAGTCAATTTGCACTGAGGCTGTCATAGCCGATGACCTTGAATGTCTTAAATACGCGGTTGAGAATGGTTGCCCGTTGTCAGATGAGCAAATCATTTACGCGGGATTGTATGGTGACCTAACAATTTTCAAATACCTCCACGAAAATGGTAGTCCGTGGTCCGCATTTGCGTGTTCCTTCGCCGCCAAGGCTGGAAACATCGAGTGTTTGAAATACGCACATGCCAACGGATGTCCCTGGGACGTGTTAACCACAGCCAGTGCAGCGTATCACGGGCAATTGGAATGCCTGAAATTTGCACATCGAAATAACTGTCCATGGAACAAAAGGACATGCATCGCAGCATTGCAGGGTGGTAGCGAAAAGTGTTTAAGTTATGCGTGGAGAAATGGCTGTCCGTGGAAGAAAGGGACGTGCCTCAAGGGATCAGGAGATGGGCGCATGGACTGTCTGCTGTCCCAGCCCGACCACGATTGTAAATGGGACAGTGAACAATTTGGTGGTTTAGCAGCCATTCTACGCATAACGAGACCAATCACCACAGAACACATTGAGTTACTGCTCTACAGGTGTTAGATGATAACTCATAACTGTTGTTGTACTATACCTTATATTTATGTTAAGTATAAAATGTCAAAAAGCAGTCCGATTAAGTGTTTGTGTAAATGTATTTAAATACTTTTTAAAATAATTATTTGGAGATTTTTTTAAAATATCGTCTTGGACGATAATGCATTATCGATGTTAATAATTTTCAAAATTCAAAAATAATATTATTCATCTCACATCATTTGTTTTTTGATAATCATTAATCTATTTTATTTTTAATTAAAGTAAAACAAAAATGTTATTTGTTAACATTTTTTAGTAGGAATAAAATTAAGTAATGATGAAGTAACAAAGTTCTAAATTCTAATGATGCTTACTTAAATTGTACATGATAATTTTAAATAGTTAACTAAGTCAACTATATTTTTTTATCTACTAGTACTTTAAATTAGTAAAAATAAATATTTACTTAAGTACTTGCTAAGTATTTTTATTTGTACTTAAATTCTTTTTCATAAATTTGTTTTAAATACCTACTTTTTCAATGAATGTATTTAAATGTATAAGTATGTATGAATTATTCAAATATAATTAAAAAAAAAAAATGTTGAAAAATAAAATTAATAAACAAAAAGTTGACGTATAAAGCTACTTTTTCCACAAAATTGTTATTTTTCACTTTCATTTAATAAGTAATACTAACGTTGACACCTCTATATGCTTGACCTACACACAATGCTGTTGATTGTTATTATTATAGAATTTGCATTTAATGTTAACTCAATTATGTGGTTTATTGATACAAAAATCAATATAAATAAGGCAATTTATTATAAAATAGTGAACAAATTATAAGAAATAAAACATATTATATTAATTTATATTCAAAACTTGTTACTTGAAATTTGGACCATCTGCTTGCTTAACAAATTTGCAAACGTTTGCAAATACTACAAACGCCATGATCCAGCGTTTGGCCTGTCCAGGTACTTTAGAAACCATAACTTTAAAATAAAAATAATAATAGGAACAAAAAGAAATATTTTGAAAAAAAAAATTTAAATAAGAAACAAATGGAAAAAAATATTGTAACTAAAAAGAAAAAATTGAAAATAAAATAAAATAAAAAAATAATTTGAAAAAAAAAATTGAAAAAAAGCAAAAAATTGAAAAAAAAATAATTGAAAAAAGAAAAAGTTGAAAAGAAAAACAAATTGAAAAGAAAAAAGCAAAACTAATTTAAATAAAGACGAAATTGAAAAAAAAATTCTTTTAAAAATAATTATCTATTTTTCAAAATCATTTTTTGTTTTTCCAAAATTTGTTTTTATTTTTCAAAATCATATTATTTTTTCAAATTTTGAATTTTTTCTCCAAAATATTTTGTGAAATTTTAAAATTTTTTTTTCAATTTTTTTTTCAAATCACTTTTTTCAAATATTTTCTTTTTAAATTTTTTGTTTCAAAAAACATTTCATAGTTTGTTATTGTTTTTCAAAATTTTTCGAATTCGAATTTCATTTCCAATTTTTATTTTTCAAAATCATTTTTTTGGTTTTCAAAATATGTTATTGTTTTCATATTTTTTTCAAATTTTTTTCAAATTTTTTGCAAAATAATTTTTATTTCAAAACCATTTTCTCTTTTCAATGTTTGTTTTTTGAACAATGATTTTCAGTTTTTTTTCAAATTTTGTTTTTGATTTTCAACCTTTTTTCCCAGAAATATTTTTTGAAATTTTGAAATTTTGAATTTTTTTTCTAAAAAATATTTTTTGAATTTCTGAACAAAATATTTTGTGAAATTTTGAAATTTTTTTTCAAAAAACTTTCTTTTTTTCAAATTTTTTTGTTTTTCAAATGTTTTTTATACAATTTCTTTTTTCAAAATTAAATACATATATATATATGTAAATATTTTTTAATTTTGAATACAAACATATCCGCACCCTAGTTACATTACAGCACAATAATGCCGCACCATTACAAATGTACAATTGCAATTACAATTACTAATAATTTAAATTTTAAATATAATATATGTAATAAGACATTAAATATAAGTTAGGTGCATATAATAAAAAGTCATCTTAGGTAATTTTAACCGATTTTATGTGCTTAAACATACCTTTAATAATTTCTATTTCTATTGTTGTTAATAATAGTTTGTGACACAAAAATTTCAATAATAAAACAACCAACTTACTTCCATATGGACTTTCTATACAGACTGGCTACAGACTTACATGAAATATGCTTGCGATTGAGTAATATGTTTGATGACTTGATGTGGGTGGTTGGTGAGAAGTATATACATCATGATAATGATCATTTAGGTACTACGCACAAAGACGAGCAATGAGCGCAAGGAACGAAATAGTTGCCTGAACACTATTCCTCAAAAATAAAATGTTTAGAGGCCTTTACGTATAAACAATCACCTATGATATCATATGACATAAATGTATTACTATTATTATTATTATTATTATGAAAATGGTGTCTTTTTTATAAGTCTATCATAATGCCTATGATATAACATGATAAAGAATAAAAATTTGGTTGTGCTGAGCAACCTCCAAGCACCTCCGAATTGCACCTATCGGGATCTAGATGGATCACTGTAACGGATTATAGTTAATACTGTTTTTATAAATTAATATTTCAATCGTTGATAATCTATAGTATGGAGTGGGTAATAAATACTAATAGTGTGGTATTGAACCTAAGGTAAGTATTTGAATAAATTCTGCAATAGTTAATACCTACTTAGGTTTAGATTTTTTCAAAGACGAGAGGTAAACCATTAACTTTTAAGAAATCCCGAACGTTATGATGCAAGACGATCAACGGTTTACAACTGTGATAAAATAAACTGTTCAAAGAATATTGTACCTTTTTTTATTTAAAAATAATTTCTAAAACAAAAATCGTTGACGACGTTGCAGTCTATCCGCGAAAGTAAACAGCAGTCGTCGGCCACGTAGAATAATTTTAAACTACGACTGTAGATGGCGCTGACGTTATGGTCCGAACGCATTGACCGGGTAACTGAAAATTGGAATAGTATTTGCCACCAAAAATCGCCGTTCCGAAACACTTAAATGGCGGTCATCAGAAAGACAGAAACTTACTGAGAAACGACCAACGAGTAATGACTTTCTACAAGTCACAGACGTTTGTCGTATAAGGTGCACTTATCATGAATTTCCATATTGGGAATTAAAAAAAATCGGTAGTATTACTGAACATTTACCTACCCATTAGCTGATTACAGGTCTTATAATTAAAAAAAAATATTTTCCAGGTATTTTTGATATCAATTTCAGATCAATCGTCTTAACAATCAATCGGAATGAATTAATAACATGTATTTAAAAAATGTTACCATTTTACGACAGTACATCATTCAGTTAAATTATAAATAGTTCAACTTCAACTTAATCACTACTAGTCTATTCATATATTAACTATTATAATATCTCATAACTAAGACGAAAGTATAAGGTCTGATTTTTTCTTTTTTAATTGATTCCAACGACACAATAAAATATTTTGAATATGGTAAAACGGCGTAGGGGATAGGCTATTTAGGGGCACCACTGCATTTGTTGTGAGCATATTAATTTTCAGGAACTTTGTCGGTTATCGCAGCCACGACTACATCAGTGCTCAAACAGTTATTTATTAAATTATGTTAAATTGTATTCGTTAACACGAAATTGTTATCTAAGCATATTTTTCATATCTTAATGATTTATATTTTTTAAACTATTATTATTATTATTACTTTTTTTTATAACCTGGACATTTTTTGTTTAGCCCGAGGCTTGCCACTTTTTTTGAAAGATCGATAATAGTTTAATTTTTATCGGCTTAAGTAGAATTATTTACAGATTATTATTGTTATTGAAGCTATAGAGTGAACCATCATTATCATGTGACGTTTACCGACCCAAAGCATACACTTTTGTGTTATTATTGAGAGCAGGGTTCGTCCGATGGACGTAGTGTAGTGTTCGTGGGTAAGTTTTAAAATTGAAAGTAAAACTATTTTTGGGAGATTAAAATAATGACTATTGTTTGTCCTAAATCATATCAAAACATTTCAAAGAAGTTTTCATTTAAAAAAAAAAGGTACACGAGATCGTTGTTAGAAATTCTGTGGGGAATGAGAAATGTGTTTGTCTTGCTATACATGAAGGATTATTATTATTATTATTATTGTTAAATCATTGTCGTTAAAAACTTTATATTTAATGGTACCTATGTATTTGAGATCCTGTAGAGTAATGGAACTTATAGTTAATTTTTCGTTATTATGCTTTGAATTTCAAAATATTACAAGCATGGAATCACGTCCCTGCGGCCTGCCTTCATTAAAAAATCTAGTCCCATTCAGTTTTTGAATTCAAATGTTGATCGTCGATAGCGATATTTATTACAAAAATTTGAAAAATCAAATAAATTAAATATGTATCAAGTTCAATTTATAATCGACTTAGTACTTACATAATAATAATTATATATTGTGAAAGAAACGTTTCGAAGTTTTTTACCGTTTTAAAAAATGTGTATTATGATAACCATAAACCATCAGCAATGTGCTCCGTCATTTTTATGTATACCGTATACGACCTACGATCGTACCTACATACCATGACCTAACCAAGCATACATAAGGTTTATACCTTTATGGGTCTATGATACATATCTACACGTCACACGGTACACTGCACGTCATGCCTATTTGAAATCTAAAAGTATTCGAATCTTATTACATCAAATTTAAAAATTTTAATACATTCATCGCTCCGCTCAGAATCTTGGAATGTTAAGTCATTTTTCAGGGCATCTAAGCATTTTTTTTCTTGAGCAATAAACAAAAACTAATGAGGTATTGAGACTTTATAGTTCTGAGTGAGATGGATTTTTTTTTTTTGAAATTCTTCCGGTTGCATTTATTCATAACCCTGCGACTTGTTGAATCGACTTCATCACCGTTTTGGACATAAATAGAAGGTACAGTGAACACGCACTTACAGAATATTAATGTAGAATTATATATTTGTGATATCGCAATAGTGGTTTTTTTTTTTGGTTTTTGCCGATTACTCAACGGTTTTTCTCCGTAACACCGACGACGCCGTCGTTAGGCAAAACAGCTTGTTGCGCCTCGAGGACTGCGCATATTACGGCCCTACTTCCTCGCGGGGTATTCCCTTTATGCTA